GTTTTTGTTTTTTTCTGAGAACTAGCATATCGGTACCTATCATCTTATACAAGTACCCGATGGATGATTCTTTCATTGCATTTGTTATTTGTTACTTTGTAACTCATAACTTTTATAATACCGTCACTCGTATGATTGTATCAATACCTTTATCAGTATACAATACAGCCACTTTTATTTTAATATACAAACTTCACAGATTGTTTTATTTAAAATTAAGCAGTTCTCCTATTAAGTTTTCAAATTCACAAATTAAAGATATTTACACACCTGCCCACTGGGCCAATGATATTTACACACCTGCCCACTGGGCCAATGATATTTACACACCTGCCCATTGGGCCAATGATATTTACACACCTGCCCATTGGGCCAATGATATTTACACACCTGCCCATTGGGCCAATGATATTTACACACCTGCCCATCGGGCCAATGATATTTACACACCTGCCCATCTGTTTCAACTGTAGTTTGGACCTATTTGGATTTCGAACATTTTGGTTCCTAGCGTCACCAATGAGTCCTAGAAAGACGAAACAGCTGTACAATGCAGTGTGATTCAATTCGACAGACTGTATATATTACCACATTTTAAAGGTACAATCACCCGTGTGTGTGTTTGTGTTAGTTCGTTACTGTTGGTAGCACGTTAGACAGAATAAAACTAAACCACACCAAATCGATTAGACAGGAGACATGGACAAATGTTACCCCTTTTCACTTTCGCTATTCATTTCTTCTGTTACAGTCACATGTGCGTGTTTAACGTCTATCGGGAAACTAGGAAAAATAGATCCTGCGGAACGACTGGGGCTCCCGGTTCTGTGCTTTTCGATGATATCCATGGAGGTCCTCCTTCGTTCGTGTTCTTCCCTGGTTTTTCTATTTTCATCGTTTTGCAATTTTGTTAACAATTAAGTATTTTATTATATTTATTTTTATTATTATATCTAAGTGAAGTTATTACTTTAAAAGGGTGGGTTTTTTTGGATTGAAAATAGGTGTTACTCAGAGTCTGACGTCATAAAAAAATGGTTGCTGACGTTTGTAAGACCCCTTAGAATTTTGGCCTTAAGTTTAGCGTTCGCCCCTGTGAGGAAGGCTTTGGGTTCTGTCCCCTGGCCGAGACATACCAGAGTCTGTAAAAAATGGTAGTTTCTACTCATACGTAACGCCCAGCAATTTAGGATTGGGACGGCTGGTTCGCCCGTTGTCAATTTAATGTGACCGGGTGGGGTGTCTTCGGCAGTATGTGTCAGTGAGGTAGCACTAAAAAGTCGGCATCAGTTCCGCGCTATCGCAAGGAGACAAACACGAACATATCACAGCCTCCCAAAACACTCACGCATACACTTCACGCATGCATCTTGCACACAGGAGAGGCCGTCCTTAAATTACCATAGCTGTTGATAGGACGTTAAGCAATACTAAATCAAACCAAACCAAACCAAACGCTATTAAAATATAATCTTGGCTGTTACTTTGATATCTATGTGTGACTGTGACGTTAAACGAAGACATCGTACATTTGATCTACGTCACTCAAACTGTTCGTTACTTTAGTCTTCGATATAAAGGAGAATCTCAAACACTGTAACGTTACTCTGGTGCATTAATTACGGGAGCAACTTCATTATTTGGCATATTTAGTTAGGGTATTGGATATTCCGCAAATATCTCGTAAGGTGATCGGGAAATCTGTGTAATCAAGCTCAAATATCTCCTCGCATCAGCTATGTAGCAACAACGTATTTATTTGTACACAATATGTTATTAAGCGTCAAAGTACAACTGCCAAAAAATGTCACTAAATGACCTTGACCTACTTTCAAGGTCACAGGGGTCAAATATGTCAAGAAACGGCATCACTATATCTTTGATAAATCATTTCTTTGAAACGAAAACCATACCTTACTGTAAGGACAGGGATCCTTAAATTTCGCAAAACCGAAACCAAAAAAAAAGTCAAAGCAAAGGTTAGAAAATTATTTTTTAATGTAATATATGATAAATACAGATAAAATCAACAAGACTGATAAAGGCGAAGCACTTAATCACAGCTTACTATAACTCAAACCCTTAAAAGGGGCTGAGTATTTCAATATAGCTATAAATTGTACAAATATATCATTGAATGAAAAAGTTCAAAGCACTTAACGACAGAACGAGGAAGTATCATTTCAGATAAAGTTTATATATTTTCCCTTTAATACACTACAAATCTTATGAACCACATGACAGATTAAATATAAATAATGGTGAATATACATAAAACGTGAGATATCTTTTGTGAACTACGTCATGAAAATTGTGGAAATTACCTAAATGGTAAAGGTTAGCACTACAGCATCAGTTGAGTAGGACACCTCGTCATAACTAAAGCATATTCATTCGAGCAGTAAACATTGAGGAAAACCGACTTCGACTATAAAGAACTCAAATACTATTTAGAACTTCAATTTCACAAGCTGATGATTTTGAAGCTTTATTCCCGGAACAAATACGCGGGGTTCAAATTTCGTACAACACCGTTATTAGCTTCATATTTTGCGTGTTTTGTCAAGTCACGAATACAGTGTAAATGAAACCTCAAAATTTAAGTACCGTTCGGCACCTGTTGTCTTTATATGATATTATGCACATTCGGCACCTCTTGTCTTTATATGATATTATTGGTATGATGTATAATTTCGAAAATCAGTGATCGCGATTTTTTTTTTATCTGCTTTAGTCTTGCATTTTACAAGCAAAGTTAATTGATTTAATTAGATACATAATCAGCGTCCTAAACTTATGTTATATACATAATATTTTATGAAAGAAAAAAACTAAAAATTATTCATAAATCCAGAATCGGACCACGAAGAGCTACATGAGTTTTTTAACAGTCACGAGTCTTCAATACTTCGAAAATGAAACTGGATATATCAACAGCAATAAAAAAAAAATGTTTATATACATACACGTAGATGTGTTGAAAGAAGTGTTTTCTTTATGAAACAGATGTTTCTAAAATGTTGATAAGACACTGTTAACGTACTGAAATTTAGGCTCATAATCGAATTGTAACAGATAAGGGCATGGATTAATTAGCGCACCCATACTATACGTTATAGACATGTTATACAGACGTTTCAATTAGCGCAATATGTAAAGCATATGAGGCGCTAAAATAAGAAAACCGCTAACATATGGATGTTTACAGTATGTGTCTTTTCTGTGTGTTCTTTCTCTTGTTCTTCTTTAGATCGCAATTCTTCCAGCCACAAAGAGACAAACCAGCATCAGGACCACGCTAACCCTCGAAATGGCTGAAAAATTAAATGCAAAAAATACATATCAACATCATGTTTATACTTGATATGAAATATACCGCCGATTACACAATCACACGGTCGTTTTAATAAACGAGTCATAAAAATTCCCTCAATTTTGAAATGAATACTATGAAATTATTAATTTTCGTGCGATGTGGAATTTTTAATTTTGTTGATTTTGTGGGTACTCTTCATCCACGACTTCTTAGATCCATGAAGATATTACAGGTTTGACATAAAGCTATTCCTCGTATGAATTGGTACTTGTAGTTCATGTTTTCACACAATTGTTATTTTTTGGTAAAACCAGTAAATTTGGACGCCACGAAAATGTCTAATTTCACGGTAGCTGAGTTCCATCAGTTTATAAATTGGAAATGATATTTATGTATTTTTGATCGCTAAAATAGGCATTAGAGAACACCTTATTGTAGTTGAGACTTATACAAATATGTAAAGGGAGATAAGATAAGTTTAGGTTAATTTATTCTGAAAGTAGGAGTTGTCGGATAAGGCCAAACGAACTAAAATTCAGCGGTCACAAACCTGCATAAACTTCTTAAAATCCCGCCTTTCTGAAGTAGGCATTATTCATATATTATCCCTTTTAACAGTAGCGTGGACGTAAACAAAACAACAGTAATTGTTTGATAAACCTAGCTTAAAATATCAAGATTGTTTTCACAGGAAAACGGTTGTTAGGTAAACCAAAAATCACTCGATGTAATATCTTTAATCTATCCAACAACGAAGGGTACATGGAACATACCAAAAGCGATCTGCTGCCCCAATTGCAATTTGGGATATTTATTGTTTCCTGTCTTTCCTGTCTTCTCTTTTTCTATCTACTTCCTATTTCAGGCGGTGTCTCCCTAGGCATCCTTCCTTATATGACCTTGGCTGTTGTGTCTCCCTGGGTACCCGTCCTTATATGACCTTGACTGTTGTGTCTCCCTATGCACCCTTCCTTATATGATCTTGGCTGTTGTGTCTCCCTAAGTATCCGTCCTTATATGACCTTGACTGTTGTGTCTCCCTATGCACCCTTTCTTATATGATCTTGGCTGTTGTGTCTCCCTCAGTACCCGTCCTTATATGACCTTGGCTGTTGTGTCTCCCTAGGCACCCTTTCTTATATGATCTTGGCTGTTGTGTCTCCCTAAGTATCCGTCCTTATATGACCTTGACTGTTGTGTCTCCCTATGCCCCCTTTCTTATATGATCTTGGCTGTTGTGTCTCCCTAAGTACCCGTCCTTATATGACCTTGGCTGTTGTGTCTCCCTAGGCCCCCTTTCTTATATGATCTTGGCTGTTGTGTCTCCCTAAGTACCCGTCCTTTTATGACCTTGGCTGTTGCAAGGACGTTAAACCCCAAACAAACAAATAGAGTTTAAACCAAACACCATTTGCCTATTCATGTGACATAACTTGACACACTATTTGTACATAGACACGATGAAATGTCACTCTTATTGGTTCATGCTTAAACCTGTGATCATGTATTCGTAACTTGTATATTCCAATAACTATAAACGGAATTATACCCCTAAACCGTCCCCCCTCTGACCTTTCAATTAAAGTTGCCATATTTTATTCTAAAAAAGCGTAACTTTAGATACCCTAATTTTGTTCACGTCGCTGTCTTTGACTCATTGCACAGTACATGATAGCATGCTTACCTTCTGCCGCTCCGGAGCCGGAACGGGAGCTGGAAGCACCGCCCGGACATGCTGCCAAAACAGCAGATGAACATCCGGCATACGTCTCTGATTCGTCACTTCCGTCCGTACAGTCCATTTCACAATCACATTTAAAGGCGTCTTCGATGCAAGAGGTCGATGGATTTTCGCACGAAAACCATCCGGAGGGGCAATTCTGAAAAGAAATAACGCTATGCTTATATCTTACATTTAGATTTTATATTATATATGACGGTTAGCATTTGGTACCTTTGATTCCAGTGATTTGAGTGTAGATCCCGATATATAGAGGTTCCCCAACGAGTGATGGTTGGTTATCATGTTTATCTAACCCGAGTTAGTTATTTTTCAAATTGTATAAAGCCGCGAGGTCTACCGAGAGCCTTTTACAATTTGAAAATTTACTTAGGAGAGTAAGATAAACATGATAAACTACCATTAACGAGTTTGGGGTCCTTTTTCTCCAATAACGTTCATTTCTTAACTGAAAAGCCATATGATTCCCTTGAAAATACACTATGTCGGCTTCCGATTGGGGGAAACAATTGCTTTGAATCATGACGTCACAATGGAAGATGGCGTCACAAAGCATTGTTACGTGACGTCATAAGTAAAAAAAATGACCAATGAAATCGCGTCCAGGGTGTTACCCACTAGTGGGTAACTAAAAATGTTTACCAACTCCTAGCAGATTTATCCAATGAATCAGGAGTGAGGAAACCTATAGTGGTTATTGGAGAAAATGCAATACAAAAGGTAAAAGTAAATCATTTACAGAATGTTATCAAACTGAATCGTATATGATATTGATCACACATGCTTAAGATTATTTGTTAAACCAATAAGTGATTATGAAGTTTTGAATATTGATTTATACTTGTAATGGCCTGTTTATGGTTACTGGCATATGTGTAAGAATGTGAAGTAATAGACAAAGTTTAAACTAACAGCAGATACATAAAACATATTGCGATATGGCGTTATTTCACTTTTGTATTGCGGTATAATACGAAATGCCTCTGTATTCCGATCTACCGGTTTTCAAATATATTGTTATAACCTACTGATTTTAACATCCACTAAACACGAGTTACTCTCACTTTAATTTCCAGATTGAATCATCTCATACCTTCAAATGAACTCTTACCTGCACATAGGTACCGGGGGATGGGCTTGAACAGACAGCACTGTTGCACGATTGAAACTCGCTAGAGTCTCCCGAACATTGGAGGCCTCCATTGGCAGGAAGTGGAGAGTCACAGCTTCGTGCGCGCGACTGACTTCCACCTCCACACGTGACTGTGCACACACCGTACGATCCCCAGGCTCCCCAGGCTCCATCGACTAAAATTGACAATTAAATCTCAATACACTCAGTGAGATAATAAACCGACCCTTCTTTAAATTACAAAACCAATTCGTACTTGTATGACAAAATTAAATTGGGTGTTTCTACTCTACATAAATGCATTATTAAGTTGATTTGATTATTATCTTGTCATAAAATAAATTTAAAATTTAATTTATGCAATTCCTACGGTTTGCAAGTCAGTTTTGTTAAACCAAGGATAACTCATTTTCGACGGGGAAAAAATGAAGAAAAAATGTTTAGATGACTAGTATATATATAAAATGATGAATAGCGGAAATATTTTGCCGCAGTTCATATTTCAACTTTATCAACCTTCGCAACGAGGGTGAAGTTACCAAAGTAGCGAATATAAGTACAAAGCATAGGCAAGTAGTTGACTGGGCGAAAGTTTTTCGGTTTACAATATATGTCCGAAAATATCTTAGACTGACAGGATATTTCATACAAAAAAATTGCTACAAAATACTAAACTGTATATACCTTTGAAATTATACCAAAATACCTACTGATGCAAACGGCGGTGTTACAATCCTGGGTCTCGGAGTCCGTTCCATTGCAACTGGCACCCCCGTGGGCAGGGGCTGGTTGGGTACAGCTACGATTTCGGCCCTGAGTGCCACCTCCGCACGTGACGGTACACGTGTCCCACGATGTCCAGTCTGTAACCCCGCCGTCAACTGCGATAGTGCACGGAAAACATGTTTATAATGTTGTATCATATACTGATGACTGAAAATATAAACTTAATTATTTTACAACAATTATGAAACAAGTTTTTACAACCTACATTAATCACTCTTGTTGGCTCGGATGTTAGAGCGCGGGGTCTTAATGTGAGAGGAAATTGCAGTAACCGGAGAAAACCCACGTGGTAGGGCAGTTGACCCCATTCCTTTCCACATGCGGTCGGGGAATCGAACACAGGCCGCCTTGGTGAAAGGCAAGTGTGCTATCCACTTCACCACCCGACAATTGATGACTAAGGTAATTAATTGTAATAGACATAAAACTGTTAACGTGCATACTTTATAGTGATTCCAATTTAAGCGATTTCTGTCCCTTAATTAAATACGGTTGATTCATCAAAGAGTTAATAAGTTTAAACTCAATAATATGCTAAAATTTGTGCCCGCTAAAATATGCACTTTAACAGTATTTGTCCAGGATTCTGATTGTCAGTCATCATTATCATTATCACATAACTGGCCCAATTCACTATGTCATACGGCCATGTCATATAATACCTTAAGGTGCTGTGATTGGTCAATATCGCTGGAACATATTCCTACGCCGCTACAAGTGCTACTTCTGTTTACTTTCCTACACGATACACTTACTGTTGTTTAAAATGAATTTGAATTATTATTTTCATTGCACGTAAAACTATTCATATTTTTTTTTTAATCTGGAACTAATTTGCACTGCGCGGAACAACAAAAACATGATTGAAGAACTTTGGTTTTGAACAATATAGAGTCAACAAATAACACCCAATTGTGTTTAACGTTTTTTGGTTTTTGTTTTTAAATTATGAATGTTATTTGATAAATGGTAATCTTATACTCGTGTCCATGTCATATCTAACCTTATAAACTCGTTCATTTATTTTACTGTTCCCCTTTATTTACATTTCAAAGTGGTAAAGTTGTGTGTATGATCTGCCGGGAATATTTTAAATTTTGTTCACCATTTTGATAATTCCAAAAACATCATGAAAGAGACGCAGTAGATATGATCATCTAGCAAATCAAATATTGAAACAATTAGAATATTTTAGTACATTACTGAATATTGTTTTGCCAACATAAATCA